TGCTAAAAATAATTTATAAATAGAATAATGGGGAATATATGACTATGTCCGCCTTATCATTTTATTGGACGTCGGGCATAGATCGTGACGGAAAATGACGTGCAAACTTTTTTCTTCCCGAAAATGCTTTTTATTCATCTTCTAAACATATTTAATATTACTTTACATTTTTTAGATGTAAATACCATAGCAACAATACCCAAAAAAAAAAGTGGACTAAATTATTAGCCAACAAATTATTTCAAAATATTTAACTTTTGGCTACTATAAATATGAAGACAATAATGATGAATCTAAAGCGCATTAAATCCAAAAACTTGAGAGAGCACTGCACTGAGGTTACTGCTCGGAGATGACGGACATGGCAGAGAGAGAATTGAGAAGTGAGAGTTCTGAAGAAATTGTTGAAATGCAACCACTTCTCCCGCCACCCTCTTTCCACAGATTTATCATCCAATCATCGGAGCAACCTGCACCTATATCATCCTCTACTTTTGTTCATTTCTATAGCCTTTTTGTAATCTCTTTACTTTTCCTTCTCAAGTTTTCTAATGTTCAATATCTCAGCTATATTATATATATCAGCCTTAGTTTAGTTATAAATAATTTGTGAGGTTTCAAACCGGTTATTATAACTTAACAAGAAAATAATTTAGATTTCAGAACTTAATTGCAATTGACATTTGTTCTTGCTTCTATTTTTGCTTCTGCAATTTCTGATTGCTTTTAGAATCAAACTTGATATATGTAGATGGAAGATAAGGTGATGGTTGATATTAAGAACCTGATACAAGATAGCAGAGAGGGTCGCTTGCTACCAACATGTTGTATCTATAGGGTGCCCCTTACAATCCGTCATCTAAATGAAGAGGCTTACACCCCAAAAGTTATTTCAATTGGCCCCTTTCATTATGGTGATCCAAGGCTGCAAGATATGGAAGAGCACAAACAAATTTTGTTCAAAGCATTTATGCAAAGAGCCAAGACAAGCTTGGATGACTTGGTTGGATTTGTAAAACGTTTCAGCGCCAAAAGTTCGTACATCTTACTCTGAGAACATCAAACTTAGTGAGGAGGAGCTTGTGAAAATGATATTAGTGGACGCTGGTTTCATCATTGAGCTCTTCATGAGGTGGAGTAAGTTTCCTAATGAAGTTGATAACGATGCTAGACTGTCACAATCATGGTTATTAGGTACCATCGATCTGGATTTGCTTTTACTTGAGAATCAACTTCCTTTCTTTGTTATTAAAGAGCTATTTGGCAAGGCCTTTCTCTCTGACCGTCGTGGTAACCTCCCTTCATTTCTTTATCTCTCTTACGAGTACTTTGAAAGTTTTAACAGCCAAAAGTTGGAGCCCAATGCTAATGTTAGCATAAAGCATTTCACATTGTTTTACTTGCCGAGAAAAAATCCCAAAAGGAAAGCATTTGATGCCAGAAACCATGTTCTTTTATATAGTGCAAGTGAGCTACAGGAAGCAGGAATAAAGTTGAAGGCAAGCACAAGCAAGTGCTTACTAGACTTGCAATTTTCTGGACATACTCTTGAGATCCCAAAATTTTTGGTGGAAGATTCAACAGAAAAGTTGTTTCGTAATATGATAGCTCTCGAGCAATGTCATTGTCCCCGTGAATCTTACATTACTGACTATGCTATGGTGTTGGATTGCCTGATCAACACCCATAAAGATGTGGATGTCCTTGTTCATAAGAAAATAGTCGCCAACTATGTAGGTGACACCAATGATGTTGCTGCAGTGGTTAATGGTCTCTCGAAAAATGTCGTTCATGAGAATTTCAATTTTGAATACCTTGATACTTGTCTAAGGTTGAATGAATTTTGTGAATATTGGTGGTAAAAGAAGAAGATGGCATTGAGACGCGATTATTGTCGTACGCCATGGCAAATTGTTGTCTCCATTGCTGGAATCAGGCTCCTCATTCTCTCCGTTGTTCAGACCATATTTTCCATCCTCCAAGTAGTGAATAAGTAGATTTCAAAGCATTTATCTTGCTGATATTTGCGTTTTCTATTTTATTGTCCAAGTTTGTTATGAATGCTGTGAAATATTTCAAACTCCCAATTTCAAAAGCATTGTTATATAATGTTCAGCGTTGAAGATAAGATTGTATTATTTTAATTTTCTTCCATGATAACTTGATATTATTATCGTTTGAGAATTGGTATATACTATTACTTGTATATATAGAAAGGAAATAAACTTTATTTATATATAAAGCTTATATATAATAGAAAACCGTTGCACCTAAGATTTTAGAAATTTCATATCTATTATTAACAGGAGAAAATAAATCAAAAACAGGAGTCAATTTGAAGTAAATAAATAAGGTATTGAAAATCAAGGAATTGTTAGAAAAGGTAATTGCATGTGCGTCATTAGTTTTTAATATTATGGGGAAGTAAAAAGTTCCACGTCATTTTCCATGGGCCATGCCCCAACATCTTATAAAATGATAAGCGGACCAAGTCATGTATTCGATTTAATTTATAAGTTATTTTAACATGTTTTATTAAAATTAAAAAAATTTTAAATTTTATTAATTTTATTTTAAAATTTAATAAGTTACTACACTCTAATGAAAATATAAAGAATTATTTTTTATAATTAGTGAAGTACCATATAAATTAACGCAGAGCGCCTGCCCGGGAAATGTCAAAGGGGGATACCATGATAACAAAAAATTTGCCCTTTTCCTTGTGACTATTCCCTTTTCATTCCTCCTCGTCCATAGCAAACGTGTGTAACTTCCAAGTGGGACTTGGAATCCGTTTGCTTGTCCTGGGTCCATTGCCCTCAGCTGTCTCAAATGGATCACTTACATCACGGCCCAGTAGCCCATCTCCTCTAGGTCCATCCTCAGCAAGATTCTTTTTGTTGACAGTGACATTGTCCTAATGTTTTAGAAGTCCAAATATAACATTGAGTTGCTTGATAAACAATTAAAGAAATTCATCAGATGCAGTCTTGGGAGAAATTATATTGGTTCTTTAATTTTAGGAAGAACTATACACAAATCTCATTTAAAACAATTAATTACTTTCATGTTTACTCACAACTGAACTTAGAGAAATGAGACGTGCGTGTAATGGACTACACATCTTAAGTTCAATTGTTAATGAATCTTAAAGTAATTAATTGTCTTAAGTGAAAGTTGTGTGTAATTCTTTTTTAATTTTATGACTGTGTCTCTTTGGTCTGCATTTTGTTTCTAGTAACATTTAAGTCCCATATAGTTAAATTAATAATGGCTATATTTAAAAGAACAAAAATTAAATTATGAATATCAATTCAACAACATAGGATCTCAGTTATAAAATGAAAGTTACATTTGAAATTTAATTTAAAAATTTTATTTGTAATTAAAACTCCTACATTTACAAATATTTAAGTTGATATTTACAATTTATATTTCAAAAGATTTTATTTATTGAAAAATTAAATTTTAGAACTTATAGGTCTTCTGAGACTTAATCAGTTAATTATAATTCTCCCTTGTTTTTTATGACTAAAAATGATTTCTGTTTTGAATAAGACATTATAATTAATTTCTTTTTTATCGAAACAATTAATTTCTTTTTAACTTACCTGAGTCACATTATTCACATCTCGGGACCACTTTTATGAGTTTCAATATTCAACTAGTCTTTCATTTTTATATTTAATTCTTAAAAATATATAATCTCGTAACTAAGAATTAAGTTAACATGCATATTTTGGTCGAAGAAAATGAAGTCAATAAACCTTGCACGTGAAACCTTTTTTGTAAAACGAGTTGATAACCTGTGGGAAAATTAAAGCGACAACTTGAAGTCAATATAATTTCTCTCACTTTTTCAATTCTCAGTTTGTTTGAAATTTAGCAAGGGGAAAATGGGAAGTTACTAAAGCAAGTTTCAAGAAAAGAAATAAAGAGCTGCTGATCTTGATAGGTTGATACACATTAGTTAAATTATAAAAAAAGAATCTATACTGCCGTAGCATTAATATATTCAAAGTAGGGTTAAACGGGCATTTTGGCTCTTCAATTATTCTTTGAGAAGTGTTTGGTATCTTACAGTTATATATGATAAATTTTTTTTTTAATATTTGAAAATGGTGCATTGGGTACTCTATTGTTAAAAAAGTTAACTTTATCAATTAGTTAACTGAAAAATTATAAAAAAAATCTAAAAAATTACAGAAAATAAATCATAAAATTGCAAAAAAATATCATATAAAAAATTAATATCGATTGAGTTTTTAAAATAATGGTTGATCAAAATTTTATTTTAGTCTTTTACATGGGTAAGAAGTAAAATTTGTATCATATTACTTATATGTAATTTAGTAGATTTAATTGATATTAATTTTCTTACATGGTATTTATGTATAATTTTGTGAATTTTTATTTTGTAATTTTTAGGTCATTTTCTACAAACTTTTAAGTTAACTAACTGTTAAATTTAATTTTTTTTTAATGGCAGAATGGCCAATGTATCATTTTTAAATGTCAAAAGTTGCACCACATGAAAGTTTTTGAAACTAAATTTTCCTTAGCAAATATTTGAGAGATAAAAATACCCTTTAACCCTTTAAAGTATTATACAAAAGCAAACTACTGTCAACTGGATTAAGGTCTACTGCCTTTATTTTAGTTCACGTTATGTTTCATTTAATTATTAAATGATCCATACTTAAATCACTACTAAAAAAAATCAAATTAAATTTAGCGAGCTCGCTAATTTTGTTACAAGAAACAGCCTTGCTAAATTTAGCGATGAAATACATGCCTATATTTAAAAGTGACCACCTAATGTTGCATCGTCGGTGCCTCATCACCAGTCACGTGTGAGTCAGCTCTAGCCTCGTCACCCATCACATGTGCAATGACTCATGTCGTGTTATTCTCTACCTCGTACTACATCACCACAAGTAAATTTACAGCTCACATGTCTGCAGAGGTGGTTCCAGTTTGGACCTCCGATGCTCTCAATCTCTCTCTTTGTTTTTTTCAGGAAAAATTTAAAATTTAAATATATGAAACATAGGACAGAATGCTTGTCAAGCAATGATGATTTCTGAATACATTGGTATCTTTTAACGAATGCTGAAATCATAATCCTCGTTGTCACCATTAATCTTCAAACTGTATTTTCTATCATCAAGAGCTAAAGTGTTAGATTAGTCAATGCTATTAATGTTAATCACACTCTAAAATCTACATACACCTTCTTGTCCTTAATATAAAGTGAAAATTTTAATTTTTACTGAAATACAAGGTGAAATTTGAAAGCTTTATCTTTTTATCCTTAATATAAGACAAAATTAAAGTAATTAAAGTTTTTTTATCCTTAGCATAAATAGTACTCTCTCTATCCCAAATTATAAGATACTTTTACTAAAATTTATATACTAATAAACCTCATTAAATATACTTAACAACCTTATCTTTCCAAAATAAAAGCATACACTTTCAAAAATACCAATCATTTAATACATTAAAAAGAGAATGGACAAAAATTAATTATAGAGAGAGAAAAGGTACTATTAGAATTGGTGTATTTAATGAAATCTTAATTTACTCAAAGTGTCTTATATTTTAGAACGGAAAAACTCTTTTAAAAGTGCCCTATAATTTGGAATGGAAGGAGTATAACTTATAAATAGGAGAATGAATTACTATTTATAATTAAGATAATGGAGCTTCTAATCCTTTAAAAAGTTTGATTGAAACAGTAAAATGACAAAGAGTAAGATTACAATTTAGGATACAGGGTATATCGTGTATTTAAAATTTTAAAGGAATAGTAAAATTATTTTGCTTCGATTTGGATGAAATCAAGATCCATGTATTCAACTAATATATTTAATCCAAATTTAAATCACAACTCACCTAAACATAATAATAGTTTATATTACCTTTCCTCTAATTAAATATTCCGTATATAATTGTAAAAGGATACATATGATCTAGTTCATTGTTATATTAAGAAATAATGTAAATGGACATCTTGAAATTATTTATTGAATACAGCTTATGTGGAGCACTAATCATACTTTTCAAAATAAAATGCATAAATTTTTATAATTACATCAAAATGAGGGATCTCAGTCAATTTTCCACCCAACATGTCTGAAAGTCTTTAAGGGTCGGTAGGAGGATTAGTGTTAGCTAAGGTATCTGAGACCAAAAATAATTTTTCAGTGAATAACATCCCAATAATAAATAATTAAATATGTATAAAAGGAAAGCATTGAAATAATTATGTTTCCTAGAGATTAACAATTTTCACAAACAAATATTTAATAAACTTTAATATAAAAAGGCTCTGTGTAACTTTAAATAAAATCTTGAATCATTAAATTATCATGTTTGACATTATTATTATTTAATTTCAAAAAAAATAACCGTATTAAATAATTATAAATATGTCACTAATCAAATCCAATAAAACATAGGTCCATCAAATAATTAAAACTTATAATTATAGAAACTTATCATAATAATTAATAAATATAGACACACAATTTAGGAGGGTAAGTAACTAAACATGGCTTATACCACAAACAAATGTGAACACATAGTCGATGAAGGTAATACTAACTAAACGTGGCTTGGAGCCACAAAATCAAACACAAGTATTAGACTCATGAATAATAAATTTGAGAGCAAGGCTCATGAAGTTCAAACTAGCTAGTCAATGACTAAGGCACTAAGGGCTAACGGAGTTGTCGCTAGCAATTAGTGTGCTGTATAAAGTTCCTTTCAAACCCAATTTCAAACATGAGAGAAAATAATTATTATTAAATAAAATTTTCACTTTTATAGCTGAACTCGGATGAATCGTCTTTTGTATCAACCCAATATTAGCTAAAATGAAATTTCATAATTAAAGTCCAAACTTATGTTTATTGATTAACTAACAACTCAAAATTGATAAAGATAATTTTACAAAATAAAGAAATTTAATCCAATAATCACATCATTGTTACTAAAATGATTTGCATAAAAATATAATATTTTAGTAAAAAAAATTTTTATTGAAAAATCAATTGAGACGCTATCCATTTACCTGAAATTTTTTAAATTTAAATTTTTCTTCTCAACTTTAATCAAATTTTTTCTCTTCC